AAGTGGCCTGAGGCATATGCAATACCAAATCAGGAAGCTACAGGACAACGCCACTTCACATACAGTCTGATGGGATGGTAGAAACGTACAATTGGACTGGAATTGACAAAGTTTTGTAATAGCCGCCAAGATGACTGGGATGTCTTACTCCCTCAACTGTTGATGGCCTATAGAACAGCAGAGCTGATGTTTGCCCAGGTACTTCAATTACCAGTGGACCTGATAACAGGACGCCCACCTTATGAAGAGTTGCCTGAAAATGTGTCAGAGTTCGTGCAAGTGTTATATGAAAGGATGGATGATATTCTTCATCAAGTGCGGTCAAACTTAAAAATGTCTGCTGATTCGATGAAGCTATATTATGATAAGAGATCTACTGAAGTCAGCTTTGTATCAGGAGACAAGGCGTGGTTGTATAATCCCAGGAAGACCAAAGGGAAGTCTCCTAAGTTGTCTTCTACATGGGAAGGTCCATATGACATAGTGGATCGTCTCTCAGACGTGACTTTCCGAATAAAATGTAGTCAACGAGGTAAGCCAAAGGTGGTGCATGCCAACATGCTTTGGTGTTATCATGGTCCAGAACATTTCAGTTGGAACGAAGTGAACAACAGAACAAATAACGCTGCTGAAGACGTGTCACCTGAAAAATCCACTGTTGAAGAAGAAACTCTACCCGGTTTTGAGAAGGGAAACAGTGAAGCCCTTGATGACGTTACTACCACTAATGTGACTGTTACCGATAATAGGACATTTCCTGATGGAGCAGATGAACCCCACGTGAAGCAGAAGCCAACGAGATGGAGACCAGTACGGAAGAAGATATGTCCGTAAAATTAAGAGACTTTGTTGTATTTTAATTTTGTGTTTGTAAATTCTGTACATTTAATTAAGTTATTGTTAATTATCTATTGGTTTAATGTAAGAGGCTATTGTTCGGGACGAACAAGACTAAGGAAGGGGCAGTGTTACGACAGTGGAAGTCACGTGACGCTGGTAACATGTCATAAGATTCTCGAAGGATCTTGACTTTTCCTGGCAACTCTAGACTTTTATAGGCCCCCTCTTTTTTTGTATATAAGCCCGGCAAATAAAGCGGAGAAATAATTGCAGATAGATAGATAATTGAGTCAAGCAAGCGGTGGTGACCATAAGTAAAGTGCGTGAATCATTGTGAATTATAGCATGTGTTTAATTTAAAGTGATTGTGGAAATTCTGTGTATTGCAAAGTTGTAATGAGAAAGAATAAACTCGTTTTATTTAAGAAAGGACTTGTATCGCTGAAGTTCCTCGAAAATAATTTATACCGGAAATTAACAAACGAGCAGTATCCAAGTGGCGTTGTTTGTGCTTCCATATTTAATACTTTTTTTAATGTTCAGGAAAACTTTTTTCAGTTTCACCCATACAGTCATTCTCACAGCCTTGTTTTTTATTTTCTGGTGTTATTCTATTTGAAGTTATGCTATTTTTAACGGTGTTTGGATACTTGTCAACATGAATGGTGTGCGGATTATAATTGTGCTGGTCATTAGAATAAATTAATTTCACATTCACGGTAGGACTGATAAGTTATGGGTGAATTATGAGTGTATTGACCCGTTTTCATTTAGACATAATTTGTTAACTTGGCAATTTATATGGTAAAAGAAAGTTAAACGACCCCCCCCCCCCCAAATTCTTGACAAGTCGGTACCTCTGATAATGAGTAAGTGTACCTATAATTGACATAACTAAGGTTTGCAGGTTACACATAAAGGAAGCACAATTTCCCTGTTCTCTTCACCTCCACTCTGTAACTTTTCCGAAAGATGTCACCTGTTTTAAACACTAGCACCATTACAAAGTAGTGTGTTAATAATGGCTGGAGACGGCTTAAATGGGTAATGAAGAAAAACTTTAATATAAGTTTAACAT